TTCCTCTGACCTATGGGAACCTGTGCTCCTTCTTTTTATTCTGAAGGCTACATGCTCTTTTGCTCACACTACAAATTATACTTTTTAGGACATTATATTTATTCATAACCCTCAAAAGGTTTTAAGTGTCTACTTTGACCCAGGAAAACTTCCAGTTTGTATTCATTAGCGTCTCTACATGCCTTCCATCATGTCTCTGGAAATCCCCATCTCAGCATGGCCATTTGGGAGCAGGGGAGTCACTGCAGTGGCATTGCCAGCCTGGGCTCCCTCGTTAAGAAGGAATCGGCTTTGTAAACCTGGAGCCTCTGATGTTTTACATTTTGCCTTCAGGACACCTTTCTCTTTTCTCAGTTTAGCGGTTAAGGCCTCTCCCTAATTTCTTTTTCCTTTGTAACTTTAAATTCCCTCACTTTCCTTCCATTCCTTGTCAAAGCACACATTTTTCATATTTTTCTTCTGTTCTCTCTCACTGTATATCTCAAAAATTGTATTGTCCCAGCTTGTTTTCTTTACTGTGATAAATACCATGACCTAAAGAAACTTAGGGAAAAAGAGTTTATTCATCTTACACTTCCTGGTCACAGTCTATCATTGAAGGAAGTCATGGTAGGAAATCAAGGCAGGAACCTTTGAGACAGGTACCACAGAGAAGCCCTGCTTACTGGCTTGCTCCCTCTGGCTCTTGCCCAGCCTGCTTACTTATATACTTGAGTACTACCTGCCTCTGGAATGGCACCACCTACAGTGAGCTAGACCTTCCCACATTAATCAACAGTCAAGACAATTTTCACAGACATGGCCACAGCCCAATCTGATTGGTAAATCCAATTGAGACTCACTCATCCTCTTTGATTATTGGTTGTATCATGTAGATAATAAAACCAACCAGGACAAGAAGTGTGCTGAAGTCATGCCACAGCCTGAATGCTCTCCTGTCTTGAAATTTCCTCTACCGAATGCATTAGTCCATCATCTTTGAATCCATTCACACTCAAGTTTCCATGGCACAAGGAAATAAAGCCATATTCTTTTCCAAAATGTCACACACATGGCCTGTGTCATGTCTGATGGAGTCCTTCCTCCCCAGTGCACCTCATTGCCAGGTTGCTCCTCTTCTTATTTCTCTTGACATTCTGGAGTTTGAAATGTCCACACAATGGTGAATCAATCTCAGCTCTAGCCTTCTGTATCTTCTC